CATTAAACTTAGTTATGCAGTGCATTAAGTTACAAATAAGAGCTGTGGAGAGAAAAGTCTGCTAACTGTGAGAATGCATGTTTTTCAAGGTGCATTTTTTAGCAGTAAAACATGGCATTAAATAAATACTGCATAAGATTAATACCATACTGTGGAACATTTCAGGCAAATCAATAAAATTTCCATGCAAGTAATTAAGTGATGGACCTCCCACCAGAAAGGTTACATAGTAAGCCTCTAAATAATATGACAGATGTATTCATTTTTTGCAGTGTATGTCCTTTGAAGCAAAAGTAACCCCACAAAAAACAAAAAACACCAAATGCAGCTTGTCTTTCACTGCAGTTAGAGGTCTGGCCCCTGATCATCTGACAAAGGTCACCCTCAGATTAATGGCACTGGGTGCTGTGTGGGCATGACAAGGACGACCACTCTGCAAAGCCCACTGAAGTGAAAGTGAATCAAAATATGTTTTCATTTAAGTCAAAATCCCTAAAGGTCTACGCAACCTACATTCTTATCTGATACTACATACCATATACTTTGAACATGTAGTTCCCAGAAAGTTTTAAACAGTCCTTAAAGTGCAATGATATGGTAGCAAAGCAAATTGTTGTTTTTAACCACATTTGCTAGTATTACTCTTACAGTGGGTCTCTATAAAGAACTCAGACAATAGAGGCATGTGATAGTGATCCATTTTGTGACTATATAGTTTTAACATTACAGAACATAGTAGTTACTTTAACTTAACTTTGCAATTTTTTATGAACGGTGAAGTGAGTGATTAAGGAGCATTTCCTCAAACGTAATATTTTGTATTACTTAAGTTGACAAATGCTTGTTAGTGCTTGCACAGTAGACACCTTCAGGACAGACTTGGGTCCACTTTGGGCACTGACTGCTACTGTTCCAGAGGTCCACAGCAGCAGTCGATATATAACTTCATTTACGATGGGAGTGTTATGGTTCTCTCTCTCGGGATCTTCCTCCCCAGGACTAATCTGGTTTCCAGTAGCAACATCTGTCTTTTATGAGTCAATTTATTTTCCTTGCAGTGTGTTTATTTATGGTGTGAGACTATCTGCTGCTATGTGTAAGTGAAAAATGACTGTTGGTCTATAGATATGTACACATGATATATGATATGTGTATGGAGGCTATGATTAAGGCAGGTCAGTCCTGGCTTGGGGCATGTAGAGAAAATGTATTTAGCTCAGTGTAGATTAAACTTGGACCATTTCTTTATTAAGCAACAGTATTTTTGTCCATACTGTGGTAACAAAAGTGCTTTAAAAAAACAAATGGCCTGTTATGGAGTTAGATTTTGCCTTAACTCAATCAAAGTGGTGAAGTATGTGAAGTCTTGCCCAAGGACACAATAACAGCACCCTACAATCTTTAGAAACCATCAACCTTTTCATATAACATGATTGCAATACCACCTGGGTCAATTACCTTTCAGGAGTTCCCTTAACAGTTTTAAAGATCCTATATTACACAAAATTGTGAGATTTAGGCCATGTTATAATGTTGTTACCTTATCAAAAACCTGTCCCTGGAGTAGTGTTTTGTTTAATTCACATACTGTATGTTTAAGTAATCCTGTGTTTATTAAGCTGTCTACATCTCCAAAAGTCAAAATACGCTATTCCACCTTGTCATGTCATGTAGTCGTACTTCATGTAACAACTGCCCTTTACCCTTAGTTCAATAGAGATGGGTAATTCTAGGGCTAAATCAAGATTTAGAATTAAAAAACAAAGTGTAACACTTCCTGTATCACAACATGACATCACAAGGTGGAATAACAGAGTGTTTTTTGTTTGAGGGAAAAATTCAATATAAATATGTAGGGTTTGTGTAGAAAATATGAGTGAATGAAACAAGACACAACATTTTAACAGATCAAAAATAGCATAATATGGGTAATGGGCCCTTTAATCACTGGGTGCACTTTCAGCAATGTGGGAGAATTATCTTGCTCAAGGACACAACCATACACATACAGATAAGTGTTTACTTTAAAACACTTTGATAAAGCGAAATAAAATATTTAGATTTCAAAATGATGGCTGCAAAAAATAACTAAACAGCCTGTGTCACAATTTTATCATTACACTATTTGGAACTACCTATTTCAATACACGTTAAGATATGTCCTTTGTATGTAAAATAAGTTTTCAAATACACTGAACGCAGTTCGGATTTCATTGCCATAAGAGCAAACACATCTACAGTCGAACAAAACCACCTATCTCCCTCTGTTTTAATAAAAAGCCACTTAAAGGACCACTCCACACTGTTTATGTAGTCACCGAGAGGTCCTCACATGTTTACTATTATTCTGCCCTCTACAGGTGTGGGCTGGTATCAAATGATCACCAATTCTGAGTCAGCCTGGAGTTCATAATATTGCATCAATGAGCAACCGTGGAGCAAGGGCCACAGGTATGCCACGCATTGGCAAGTTGTCAATCAGATTTAAAGCGGCCTCCATAATCCAAAAAAAACATTGTCTACACTTGCAATTACAACCTGCTTAACATGCAATTGGTTGTAATAATTTGGATGCAAGATAAGAAATATGAACTACAAGCAGTTATGGTAGCATAGTCATAGAGAGTCGTTTGCTTACTTAGTGAAGTGAAAACATAAAAAGGTGATGACTAAACGGTAACTTGAGCCCCCTGCGTTCCAGTTGGTGTCATGAAAGAAGCTCTTCAGTCATGACCAGTTAAAAAGCACACACTCAAACTCAACATCTATGCCCTGAAGGAGTGCAGTACTGGGTGTGACTCCAGCAATATGTGTACTTGGGTAACTATGCAACTTTTATGCAACTTTTATGCAATAAGAAACAAATACAGGGTTATGAAAAGCAGGTAACGGTAAAAAAAAAAAAAAAAGTAAACAATGTCAAGATTACAGATATGAAAATTAAAAATAAAAACTATATATGTCTTGCAATGTCATTAAATCATTAAAAGTGCACTGTATAACTTTTTGGTTAAGGGTCTGTGACCTGCTTTTTTCGATGTCATTGCTCTGCCTGGAATGTTCCACAGCATGACATTAAACAGGTCTACTGTACATTTATTAAATTACACGTGGTTTTATTGTTTTAAAATACCTAGAAAAACAGGCATTTTGACTGTGAGGTTGCCTCTCCACAGATCTAAAATGTACCTTGTTCTGGTTTGGTCTCCATGACATTCCAGACAATGCAATAACATCTCCATAGAGAAAAGCAATTGACGGACCCTTCACCAGAAAAATTACACAATGCACCTTTAAAACATAGTGATATTTTAAGTGTATTACCTTTTTTTGTATTAAGACCTTAAGACCAGGGGCCAGGGAACCAGGACTGGGGACAGGGAGCAGAGGCTGAGACTGAGGCTGGATATGCTGTTTTCACAGCTGGGTGGGTTGGCTCACATCTGGGTCCTACACGTGAAGTAGAACACAAAGGTGTATGTGCCAGTGTCTGAAATGCGTTGGTTTCTTGAGTTAGTTACCTGTGTGGATGTTGCATGTGGGTGGAGACAGATGGCACAGATTGACAGCCAAATGTCCCTCAGTCTGTCCCGGGGCAACTGTGTTTTTTGTGAGCAGAGCTGTTAGACCATGTTCAGATCCAGTGGTACTCGGACCCTGCTCTGGACTCATTTGTGCTTCTCTCATGCTGTGTCTTTGGGTCTGAAATCCTTGATACCACTCATCTATCCCTGAGCTCCAGTCAGACCTGGTGAACCTTCGTAAACAGTTCCAAAGATGGCATCTGTTTTTGTGTCTGCTGTTTCTGAGCGTCTCCTGTCTGATTACAGTACATGGATTTCATCTCTGTGAAGCTCCACCACAATTGTGATGGTTTAGTCCTGGTTTAATCTTAGTCTATGGATAGTTTATTATTAGTTTATTTAATTTAAGGGACAATGTATCTGAATAAACATTTCTACAAATGCCCCAAAATTAGTCTACTCTAGCAGATATTTTTCATCTGCTGATGCTGGACAGATGTTAAAAAGTCAACCTAAAAAGGAATACACAGATATATACAGATATACAAAAGACATTGTAAAAAAAACCCATTTAATTAAGTGTGGATTCTAACTATAGTAACTTTAATTATGCTTTAGAACTCATTTAGTGCTGTTTCAGTCCTGAACTGGTTGGTTCTGGTTGTGTGTGTCTCTGCATTATGTAGCTAGCTTCATGTGTTTTACAGATAAAAAGAACCCCTTGAAAACATGCATTATAACTGAGTGGGTTTGCTTTTTTTAACAGATCTGACCTGTAGCTTGGTCTTACCTTTTCACAGAGATGACTACATTTAATGCTATACTGTGGAACATCCTTGGCAAAGCATCTCCATGCAAACAAGCAGGCAGTGGACCCTCCTTCAGAAGAGTTACACAATGCACCTTTAAAGATAGTTATAGTCATTAAAGTTACATAGAGGACTGCAGACTGAAGGAAGCTGATGTATCATGGTCACGCCAACCACAATGCAGAGGTTGACCAGGGGAAGAACCTGTGGCAGCTGCGCAGAGGTTACAGGCCAGAGGTATGAAGTGCACAGAGGAGATAAATCTATGAGTGACCACAGGCGTTCTGTTAACCTGAGTGCTTAGCTTACCTCACAGCTGGTGACCCTAGTGCACTTTAAACCTCACTATTCGCATCACAGAACCTCTTGGCCACTGAAAACATATCAGCTTCAAGTTACTTTTCTCCCTAAAGCTTTGAATCTAGCCTACAAGTATAAACACGGCAAAAGCTTATACAACTATTTGACAAGAGCTGAAGAGCAGAGTTAATTCAATGTGCCATGTACTTGACAGCCAACAAAGTCTTGATTTTCATTAATAGCAATCTTCTGCATTCTTCACATCTGTGGTTAGAGGCCATATATCTTCTCACTGAAAAGGCCTTGAAATGCCCTTGCAAAACAGATGTTGGTACAAGATGTAAAATGACAAAATATGACAAGAACATCCAGGCCTTTATATTTATTGTAGCACATGAGAAAGCATTACACATGAATCAAAGTGTCCAAATCATTTTAAGACATAGTGTGCAGAACTTTCATATGACAGCAAATAAACAATGAACTGAGTCTTTCCAAATTTTGATTATTTTTTTTGGCCATGACATTCAAGAAAGTGGAAATTCAAAATAGATTGGAGTGACTATCATGATCTTTGTTTAAAGACATTTACAGTAATATTGATTTAAGCATGTTTATTGAGAGTAAGGCCGCACTCATTTCCTGTATTTGTCTTGCCTGATATATCCATTATGGAAAAGAAGTCAGGCAACAAAATCTGCTATTTTCAAGCCAAAGTATGTCTACAAAGTAAGTGCAAATGCAAAACGTTCACATCAAAGTTCATTATTTGCAGAATGCAAATACACATCAAGCAACTCTTCTACTTGGAGCACTTAACGGCCTGTGCCATAGTTTTTAATACATCAGGCAAGTAATCAATGTACAGTGTATGTGTTATGTTAATGCATGTTTAAAACCATGACAAAGCCAGTATTCACAGAAATACACTGCCCTCTTGAGGCAGTTTAAACACATACAACTTTGATTTTGACAATTCTGAAAACAATAAATATTCGTTAGTTTTACTACAGTCAAGAGACTCATAAAATGCAGTAAGTAAGTAAGCCTTCCCATAAAACAGGAAGTAACTGAATTGATCTATTTTTTAGTGCAAAAGAGGCTCATCCTCCCTTATATTATATGTACAGTTTTGCGGTTTGCACCAGTGTGGAAGAAAAAAGTTTAGTCTCTCTTTTGAAACAAATTACTTAGATCAAAAGGCTGTTGTGTCACCATAATCCTGGTTCCATTTGGAGTACATGTTGAGTGTCGTGGGGCTAACACTGGGTTTGATGCGCTTCAGCGAATCATCAAAGTCTTTCATCTTAATGTTTCGCATCTGTGAGCAAAAACAATGACAGTTCATAAGAAATACATAAATAGGCTAGAATAAAATTAGAGGTGCTATTTTGGGTACTTGGAATCTTACCTCACTCGCAGCCATATTTCTGACTTGCTGTGGTCCCAACTCTGCAGGAGAATAAAAATAATTGGATAAATATCTAATTTAATGTACAAGGTTGTCATATCAAAAGTATAGTTAATCATACCCCTAATTGGTCCTAGTGCAGCATCTTTGGCTAATGATGTCAAATCACTCCCTGAATAACCTTGAGTCTTCCTGAAAATGTCATAAATTCAATGATTACACAATGATTTCACAATATGGAAATAAACAAACAAAATATGGTAATTAATTGAAAAACCTACTTGGCTAAATAGGAAAGCTCACTTTTGGTCAAAGGATTCCCATGCTTAGACAACAGATTTTGAAGCAACAGGGCTCGCGTCTGTAAACAAAAATAGTAATAAATGTAAAACTCATCAATATACAGTATGTAGGAATTGTTCCATTGATTTATTTTGTTAAGTCACCTCTTCGTCTGGCAAAGCCACGTAAACTCTTTTTGCAAAACGCCTGCAAAGAGACATGGGTAAATACAGTGAACAATGTGTAAATGCAATTGGTGGTTTTCAGGTTCTAAAATGTGATGCCATCCTCCCAGATAGAGGACAAGAGCCAGTTTTCCCTGTTGATTAAATGGTGTTTTCATAAGAAATATATTAATTAATTCATTAAATATTAAAAGGAAAAGTTACAAATGCTGAAATTGATCATTACTATTTTAACAATAATTATGAAAAGACTCTGACTGAGACCTCAAAAAATCCAATATCAGCAAATTAACATAAACATAGATCAAGTCTAATGCCATACTGTAGAACATTCTAAGCAAAGCAATGCCATCTCCACAATGACAGGGTAGTGGCGAACCCTTCACCAAAAAAGTTACATAATGCACCTTTAAAAATGATTGGTCTATAGAATGTTGTGGTGTCATTTGAAACCCAGAAATGATCAAACTGGTTGAAAACTTATTGTTTCTACCTGAGCACAGCTTCATCAAGCTCCTGTGGCCTGTTTGTCGCTCCCATCACAAGCACTCGGTCGTCTCCTCCGGACTGAACCTGAAACACCAGAGTTAAAAAATGTCTTGGTAAAATGCACTAAAATCAAACTTCAGCCCATTTTAAATCCCTCTTACCCCATCAAACTCAACAAGGAACTCAGTTTTCAATCGCCTCATGGCATCATGTTCCCCTTCTCTCCTCTCACACAGCAAACTGTCAACTTCATCTGATGGGAGAAGATTCACAGTTGATTAAAAGTACAGTGAACATAGCTTGTATCATAAAGTAAAGAAATACTGACCTATAAAGATGACTGAGGGTTGTAACTCCCTGGCGACAGCAAACAAGGCTCGAACTAACTTCTCACCCTCACCAACCTTCAATTTGAGCAGAGGGCATTAGCAAAGTTAGACAGGCTCAAGATAATATGCTAGGAAAATAGGGTTAAAAATAGAGACTTCTTACATATTTAGAGGTCAAACTAGCTGCGCTGATGTTGAAGAAAGTTGCGTTTGACTCCGCAGCAACAGCTTTAGCCTGGAAGGAATTAAAAGTTATTAATGGTAACTATAATATATTGTCAAGATAAAAGAACAATTTACTTACCAACATAGTTTTGCCATTTCCAGGTGGCCCAAATAAAAGCAGTCCTCGTGCTGGTGCTCTCAGCCCAGTGAAGAGCTACAAAATCCAAATTCTTGATTAATAATTTTAATGAATTAAAACCTATATAAAATCAAAGTAAATCTATATATTTCAACCTCTGGTCTTAAGGCAGGAAGAATAACAATCTCTTGGAGTGCTTGTTTTGCCAGCTGTTGTCCTGCAATGTCTTCAAATGATATAGTAGCTCCACTGGATTGAAGACAAATAGATAATCAGTTACATCTCAAACAATAATCATATAAGCTAGGCACTCATGTATACTGAACTGCACCTGTCTACGATTTCATTGAGGATCAGATTTGCCAGTTTGCTGTCAACATTTTTGAAGTTTTTCATATCCCTCCTTAGTGGCTGCTTCACTGCTGCTGTTCTCCCATTTGATTTTGCAGTGGTGGGGGTTACCTTTAAAAAAAAAAAAAAAAAAAAAAAGTTAGATAAAAGAAGACACACTTTTGGGGTATTTAGTATGAAACTATAACCTACATAGATCTTCATTTTACATTTTGTTCAATATAAATGATAATATTGATCTAAAAAAAGTTTGATAGCGGAACTGTAAATTTGTTTATAATCATTTGAAGCAAAACTTTGAGTAAGCTAATGATGACGAAACAACAGTATGATCAAAATCTCATAAAAGGTGATTTTAAATAATCTGTCCACTTAAAATTGTAGATGTAAATATTTTTTAGTCATGCAGTATGATTTTTAGACTAGATCAAATTTACCTTGAAATCATTGGTTCTGGATGTGGACCGTACAGTCGATGATGGTCGGATATTAGACAGTGCAGAGCGAGATGGAGGCTGACTCTTGGGAACAGGTTTTGGCTGAGTTGAAAAGAAAGAAGCTGAAGTTCTCTGAGAATCACTCCGTTGTTTGGAAGCCAATGTTGTTTCTATGAAAGGCAGAGAAGAGTTTAGGGTTATCCAGTGCAATATAGGTGAGGAAATAAATAAACCACCTGCGAGTGCAGTGGATAATGGTGGAATGGAACTATTAATCAAGTCCAGGTTACTTTCTTTGAACCTTATGTGCATCTTTAACCGTTTACATTAAATTAGCAAATATACTCTGGGGGTGGGTAATGTGTCAAAAAATGTTATCATGATTTTCTTGGACCCTGATCACAATTTTTATTTGATTTTATTTATTTTTACCACCACCTGTCACACACTCAGACATATGGAGGTTGACCAATAAGAAGTGAGTGGAGAAAAAATGAATTTCTGAGTCATAATATGACAACTTCACCAAAATACCACATTGTCCAAAGAGTGATCATGATTAAATTGTTATTGTCATATCGCACAGCCCTACTGCTACTCATAATAAAAAGTGTAATCGTAAACTTTGTCATAAATAATTAAGAATGCACCCATAGGCCTATTTATAGACCTTCAAAATGTAATCTAAATTCTTCGATGAATTTTAGTTTCCCTTTCAAATTTCTAGTATGTTGACGTTGCCTCTTTCCTGCTACCTACTTTACAGTATAGGGCTCCACTCCATAGTAATAATTTAAGGGATAGGAATTAATTTCACATACCTAATAAGACCAGTCTGTCTTTAGCCATAGTGAGATTATTGACCATTTTATCTTGTAGTCTTTTGGCTCTCTCATATTGGTCCCCTGTAAACACACAAATAGGTCAACAATGTCTCTATACAGTAGGCCTGTATTTATGCTTTTCATTGTATTTTAATCTTACCTTGTGCATTGATTTCGACTGCAATGCCCTTTTCAAGCTCAGAAATCCCTCTTTTGTACCACTGGACTGCCTCCTCTTTCTCTCCTGTTGTTATACATCAATGGTTATAACATTGGGGGTAACGCTATTTCACGAATCCCAACAACGCCCAGCTCAAATCTTGGCACAAAATACGCACCTGTGTCCTCTTCGTCGATTCTTAAGGCCCGGGAGATGTACTCAAACGCTTGCTTGTGGTAGTTTTTGATCACTTCTGCGTTATCTTTGCTTTTACTTGGGTTAATTTTGGTCGACATTACTACTACTGTCACTTCGCTTCACCTAAACGATGAAAAACTTACGAACTCAACTAAAACACTGGATTTTAATATTCATAGATATTTAGATCAATAGAAGTAGGCATATATAAATAACAATCAGGCTACATATGTACAGAAATCCTCATCTCCTCGCTACAAAAACATTTTTCGCTGCTTCCGCTTCTCCGCTGACTGACAGCACATGTGCCCGCCCCTCTTTTCTTCTATTTGGAACGGAATGTTTTATGGCGCCATCTGCTGGTATAAAACATAAATACACAATGTAAATACATGAAAAACTGACAGAACCGGTAATGCAATAAGTTGTGCTGTCGTTTTATGTAAAATGTTACCACCAATATGAGGAAAATTAACTGGAAAAAATATAAATATAAAATTATGACATATGAAACCTTTAATGAAGAACATATTGTAAGGTTGTGTAGACAATGTGTATCACAATTCAATGTAAAGTTTTTTGGATGTATGTTGAGCAAGCTATTCAGTAAATTAGTATTATTTAAAGGACCAAATATGCTACCCTTAAAGGCACAGTGGGCCTATGGAACTTATGGATAAGTTTATGAAAATAGAGAGTTAAAACCATACTTCGTTACATACATACATTGCCCATGGAGATACATAAATAGATGTTACAAAATTATAGCCAACGGAACAACATTTCCATGGAACCAAGCATGAGGAGGTTTCCCCAGGCCAAATAAAGAATCAGGTATGTGGAGACGCAAGCCCAGTCTCAGTAAGGACGCATGTTTTTTTTTTTTTTTTTAGTGCTTTATACGCAATTAAAACTTAAATTATACTTTTATTTTTACAAACAAACAAACAAATAAATAAATAAATAAATAAATAAAGTTACATACTGGAAAATATAATTTTGTTTCAGCACTGTCAGTGAATGCTATAGCTCAGTAAGCCTCATTATGATGAATTAAAATAGATTTAATTTTATGTATTAAGTAAACTATTTACATTCTTTTACAATGGAACAAAGTATTATCCTTATAAAATTAGTGAACTCATAACAGAAATATCAACAACAACAACAAAATTTGCCCAAAAAGGAAGAAGGAAGAAGAAAATCTCTTTAATCCCACCCCTACTCTTGTAATTTAACATGAGTTTTCGTTTACATTCTTCAGACATGTTACATTAAACCACATGAACTATTTACAAGTGAGGGCAATAATCTTTTGGTTTAGAAAATAGAAGCGCTTTCTTTCTAAAAATCCTTTGGAGACAAACGATCCCATCATCTTCGCAACAGCCAAACCCAGATTCAGACTCCACCAATCAGATTATTTAGGTTATTCAGGCAGCCAATGAGAGCTCGGTTATGGCTCATGGAACGGTTTAAGCCCCGCCCCCTACCTGCTCCTCAGTTAAAGCTCTGATCGTCGCGCTTCTCCTGACCAAACTCCTGACAGCTAACACTGGCAATCCGGTCTCGCTTCTTTTGCATTGGCACTTCAGACACGCTCGTATTTTTTGTGCCTTTCAAAGTTTTGCGATTACCGTATCTAGAAACGCTTCAGCCGCTGGCGTTTTATAAGTTTTCTCCGGCTAAATACATGCTAACACGGAGACATCCCACACAGCCAGCTGACGGGAGGTTGTTATAAGCCGAGGCTGTGCAGCTACTACCCTTTGTCTGTAGACTACAAACAAGTTAACAACGAAGACCTGGCTCTTCCTCTCGCTTTTGACAACCCGAGTCATTTCTTTTGTTTTATTTCTCCTGATAAAAGTGAAGTAAAGCAAGATAGGCGGCTGGGGAACCAAGATGTCGAACAGAGGGAATTGCAGAGACGCCAAACACGCCGGGGCCTGGTACTCTGCTTCGGGTAATTGTCAACAGTGCACTGGCCTGGTAGCCCTGTTAGCTAGGTGGTATTTTTCTCCCATCAGGACAAGCAGTGCTCATTTAACTTAAGGTTTTATTTTACTATTACTATTGCTAAGAAGACTTTGAAGACGCACGTAAAACATGAAAAAACATGTGCTGTTTGTTGTAAAGTTTCTACTCTACTTAGCAAAAAGCTAACATTTAGAGCTAGCTGCTATCGACTACCTCATCTCTGGTCCTGTTTGGTGCATGGTTGTTTTGAGCTTATTCAGCATTTTCCTTTGTGGTTGATCGATAACACTGATCAAAACACAGTGACCTGCATTGATATGGATTTTGGCCAGTCATCATAGGCTCAAAGTTGAGGAAATATACTTTAGATTGCTAATCAAATGGTATTTTCTTAACCAAATGGCATTGTCTCTTTGTATCAGGTTACTATCCATTTACCCTGTGGTTCATAATGTCATGACATATTCAAACTTCAGATCCAAGACCTCAAGTTTAGTGCAGAGCCGCTGTCTGCTGTGAAACAAAAGACTGGGCAGGGCAGAAAACGCTGAAGGTTCACGTTGCACCCCTTCCCCCATTTCACTCGGTAGTGCTTTATTTCAGCGTAAGAAAAAAAAAAATACTATTACCAAACTACTGTTTACAAATGTAACACGCACATCTCACTATAATTATAAATATAGGCGTACCGCCTTTGAACAAAGCAAAAGTCTCTCAGTCTTATAGACGCATCGACCTGGACGTCCTTGGTTGTTTTTTTATGCTAATGAGCCTCTTGCTTTTTCTGTTGACAGCATTAGGGTCCCATTAAACTAAAAGGACAGTTTATCTTGTTGACAAATGTGTTTGGATTTACCTACTCTGCATCAAGCAGAAGCTTGCACAAAAGCAAAGGTACTTAATTGTTACTGTCTACCACCTAAGCAAGCTGCTGTGTTGAGCTCCTCCTTGGTTTTGTCTAATGTTTTTTTTTTTTTTTTTTTTTTTTTACAACAAGATGATGCCTTGTTGTAGCTGTTGAGAACAGTTACAACAAGGCAAGCTCTTCTATTTTTAAATAAAAACCTGACACCTTGGGTATTTATATTGTACTGAATCATGTAATCATATGCTAATTTGGAAAGCTATTAGATAGATGATATAATAATATATTGCCATTAAGCTTTATTTCTTAACCTGAGACATGGACAATAACCAGCCACACTAAAGTGTGAACTCTTGGCAGAAGTTGTTTGTTTTTCCTAAAGACAATATGAAACTAAATGTTAATAAACAATGATCAAAGTTAAAGATTGACCAGTATGTTTTTTTTCCGTGACCAATGTTGATACCAATAGTTTAGAATCTAGAGTAACCAATAGCTGATAAACTCTGCAGATAATTTTTGGCCGATTGCGATTATTTTACCTAAATTATGTCCTTTAAACTTCCCCACAGCCCTTTTTTTTACCATAAATCCATAAAAGAACTGTACATGTTGTGTATTCTTTAGGCAGCAAGTTGCCCAAAACTAAATATCGTCCTGTTCTTGAAATTTAAGGCTTATGTCCAATATGCAAAAAAGTGCTAAGTGTAAGGTTTATTGGTCTCTCTCTAATCAAAATTAGAGATATGGGCTTAAAGATCAAATAATGTGACATATAAATCAATAATGTACTTAGATCTGTATGAGTAAATACATTTGCTGAATGTATAAAGATTGGGTATTTATATTTGATAACATGACCCTCTGCTAATTTGGAAAGCGATCAGATTGAGGTCTGGTTGAGTGACAGGCACAATAAACAATCACATTCATATCTGAACTTCTGGCAGAAAATGCGGATAAAGGCAGTATAAAGCTACTAAGTAAATTAGTCATGATCAAGAGGTATTCCAGGCTTAAAGATAATCCAATTTATACTTGATAATATTGCAGTAATATACACATTAATAATATATGTGGATCTGTATTACAGTATAAATTTGCTGTGCTTCTCAGGTGCTCAGCTTAATGCACAGTTGGAGGGTTGGCTGTCCCATGCTCATTCCTCGTTCAGACCTGCTCGAGCCATCATTGCACCGTAAGCACAGACGCACTCCTGAATTAAAGTGTTGCTCTGTCTCCATATAATGTCACGTGTCTTCTTTCACAGGCATGCTGGGTACACTTACTGTGGTGCCTGCGCAGCACATGCCTACAAACAAGTCGACCCTTCTGTAACGTAAGTTTAGTTGGCATATCATTAACTAATATGTCCCTAACCCTATCAGTGATTAAATGCATGGTTTTACAGTCGTAGGGTGTTCATTTTGGGACCCTCTCATCACGTGGCCCTGTCCCGCTGTGCATTGTCTCCTGCAGAAGTCTACAAAACTCCTCTGTATGATCTACGGATTGACCAGAAGGGTATTTACTCTTGGACTTGTGCTGACCTGTTTTTTTTTTTTTTTTGCTTGTTTTTGCTGTGTAAAGTTATACTGCTGTAATGTGCTATTATTAAGTCTTTAAATGTTTTTTTAATGACAAAATGAGGCAGTAACAAGAAAATGCATTATGCTGTGTGGAAAAATTATTAAATAAAAATGACAACCAAAAAAACTATTAACTATCCATATATGCAGATGTACTTTCAATTTATTTTATTTTTTTTTTTAAAAAGCTTATTAACTAACATAAGAATTACATGTGTGTTTCAGTGTATGCTGAGCTCGGGAAAACTGGGATGTTTGACCGAATGACTCAGAAGACCGATCTAGAAGAGCACAGTATTGAAATGCACTTGCCTTACACTGCTAAAGCCATGGAGAGGTAACATACTTGCATTAATTACACCAACAAAGCGCAGCACATAAAAGCTTTTATCATGACAAGTCTTCTGGGTGTTGAGTCGATTGTCATTCTGAACACGCTCTGAGCTATAGGCCCACGATACTGTGGCACATGAGAAGTGTCAGTGTGCATAATTGATGGCAGCCTTCTGTTTGGTTGGCAAGAGTTAAAAGTAATTTCTTGAGAGGAAGCAGGAAATGCAGGGAAAACAGACCACAAACCAGGTCTGCTGTGTCAATAGCCTGTTTTCCATGGTTTAGCACCGAATGGAGGGGATTTTGAGGACATTGTTAATGTATTCAAATTGTTTTTTGCTCATTTAGCTTGGATTGAGTGTTATTATTTCTGATGTGCTGTTTTCAATCCTCTTATCTCTGTCCAGTTGTTTGTGGCCAATTCATCAATTCACTCATGATGCATCATTTTCCTTCTTCCTGCGATTAGTTTTTCCGTCCAAACATTGGGCTGTTTTAAGAAGTCTGTCACATAGTAACCA